TTTTGTTTCGGAGAGAGAGAAGGTGGGATTGCATGCTGTAAACGAATCCTCACTGTTTGTTCTGTCTGTTGTTTTATTTTCTCTCTGTCCCCTCCTCCACCCCCCCACTTCGCCCTTGAAGCCCAGATCCGCCACCAAGGAGGAACTGCAGCTCGTTCACACGTGAGTCTGGAGGTCGGGGGTGTTGGGGAGGTGTGGGGTGGTTCTCCCGGCACAGGGTTGGGTGTCTGGGCTCAGCATCGGGACAGGCATGTGGCTCCTCTGGTCCTTGACCGCTTCCCCCCAACCCTACCGGTGCCGTCCAGCTCGGGATCAGACCCTTCGGCCCAACTCCTCCGTGCCGACCCAAATATCCTAAGTTAATCCAGACCCATTTGCCTGCGTTTGGTCCCTATCCCTCTAAACCCCTTCCTTATCCACGTCCCCATCCAGATGCCTTTTAAATGTTGTCATTGTACCAGTCCCCACCCACTTCCTTTGGCAGCTCGTTCCATGCACACACCACCCTCTGCGTGAAAGAGTTACCGCTCAGGTCCCTTTTAAATCTTTCCCCCCTCTCTCACCTACAGTCTTTAGTTTTGGACTCCCCTTTCCTGAGAGGAAAAGACCACGGCTATCTGTGCCCCTCATGATTTTATAAACCTCTATAAGGTCACTCCTCAGCCTCCGATTCTCCAGTGATAAAAGCCCCAGCCTCTCCTTATAACTCAAACCCTCCATATAACTCAAACCCTCCATTCCCAGCCACGTCCTGGTAAATCTCTCCCGAACCTTCTCCAGTTTAATAATATCCTTCCTATAACAGGACGACCAGAACTGGACACAGTGCTCCAGAAGAGGCCTCACCAACGTCCCTGTACAACCTCAACGTGACATCCCCAACTCCTACACTCAAAGGGTCTGAGCAATGAAGGCAAGCGTGCCAAACGCCTCCTTCCCCACCCTGTCTACCTGTGATGCAAACTTCAAAGGATTATGTCCCTGAGCCCCCTCGGTGTCTCTGTTCTACAACACCACCCCAAGGCCCTACTTTTCATTGTATAAGTCCTGCCCCTTGTTTGTTTTAGCGAAATGCAACACCTCACATTTATCCGAATTAAACTCCATCTGCCCCTCCTCGGCCCATTGACCTAATGGATCGAGATTTTTGTTTAATCTTAGAGAACCTTCCTCACTGTCCACTGTATCACCGATCCTGGCAAACCATTGCCCCCTATAGTCTCATCCAAATCGTTTTATGTGCATTGCCCAAGGCCCTACCATTAATTGTGTAGATCCTGCCCTCAAACGCTCTCGGTAACATCCTGGTAAATATTTTCTGCACCATCTCCGGTTTTTAATAACATCCTTTCAAAACTGGCCGCACCTCTGTCTTGTGCACCTGAAACATGCGATGTCGGGGGTGGTTTTTGAGAGGAGTGTTGCTCGCAGGGGTCCTTAAATTTGTAGAGGTCTACTCCTGGACTGGTGCCCATCCTCCTCCTGCCCGGGTGTGGGGTTGGCACAGCCTCCCAGCAAAAGGCTGCAGCCTGGACAGGCCGAAGAGACTCGAAGCAGGTCAGCACCCAGGCCGTTTGGAATTTTGGCTTCGCCAGGCCCTGGAGGATTGTGGGTGCCGTTTCAGGGCCTCCGTTATCCAAGGGGGAAGCGATGGCCCAGTGGTATTATCGCTGAGAGAGGCAGGTAACGTTCTGGGGACCTGGGTTCGAATCCCGCCACGGCAGATGGTGGAATTTGAATTCAGTTAAAATGAAGAGTCTAATGATGCCCGTGAATCCATTGCTGATTGTTGGGAAAAACCCATCTGGTTCACTAATGTCCTTTAGGGAAGGAAACTGCCATCCTTACCTGGTCTGGCCTACAAGTGACTCCAGACTCACAGCAATGTGGTTGACTCTGAACTGCCCTCTGGGCAATAAATGTTGCCTGGCCAGCGACGCTCTCATCCTGTGAACCAATAACATCCTGGCTATGGAGGTAGGGCAGCAAGGATCCTGGGATGGTACAGGACATTTACAGTTTAAACGTGGACCAACATGAGATGAACCACACAGGGAGCGAAAGCAGATAATTGTCCGAACGGGGAGAGAGTGGGGAAAAGCGGGGGAGCTGAAACGTGAGCTGGGTGTCCCCCTGTACACCAGACGCTGAGAGTGAGCATCGCTGACGGTGAGGAGGCTAACGGCGCGTTGGATTCCCATCGGGAGAGGGTTGGAGTCTGGGAGCTGGTGGGGGGAATGTCTCGCTGTGATTGTACAGGGGCGGGACCGCCCCCTCTCTGGAGGATTGTGGGAGCAGTTTCGGGGTCTCCCTTCCTGAGGGAGGATGGTTCTGGTTACAGACTAAGACAGATCCCTGGGACTGACGGAGGAGAGAGAGACCAGATCGGTTAGGGACTACATTCACCGGAGTTTTTAAGAAAAATGAGGAAGGGGATCCGATAGGAACCTGTAAAACTCTAACAGGACTAGATGGGGAGCTGGGGGGTGGGGGAGCACAGGAACGGGTCCAGAACCAGGAGGGGGGGGGGGGGTACTGTGTCTAAAGGAGACGGGGGTGTAGGTGGTAGGACTGAGATGGGGGAGAAATGTCTTCACCCAGAGAGTGGGGAGAGCCTGTGGGACTCCCTGCCCCACAGAGAGCGGTTGGGGACAGAGCACGGAATCTTTTTGAGACGGAGTTGGTTATAGTTCAATGGGATCGAAGGGAATGGGGGATGGTGTTAGGGGGATAAAGCAGGGAGAACAGGGGACTGAGTTGGGTCGTCACCCGAGATCCTATTGAAGGGCTTTGCTGCTCCTTCTCCCTGTGCTGGCTCCCGTTATCTGTGGCCATTCCATGCCAGACCCACTCCCCCCGAAAAGATGTGGCATCTCGGGTACTGGTGTAGAGTGACCCGGAAAGGGTTTGGGTCCATTGGGACGGTGTAGAGCGGGAGTGAATGGCAAGGGGTTTGGGTCCATTGGGACGGTGTAGAGTGGGAGTGAATGGGAAGGGGTTTGGGTCCATTGGGATGGTGTAGAGTGGGAGTGAACGAAAAGGGGTTTGGGGTCCATTGGGCCGGTGTAGAGTGGGAGTGAATGGGAAGGGGTTTGGGACCATTGGGATGGGAAGGGGTTTGGGTCCATGGGGTCGGTGTAGAGCGGGAGTGAATGTGAAGGAGAATGGAGGGATTGGGATGGTGTACAGCGGGAGCTTAAGGCCCATGGGAAAATCGGTGAGTTCCTGCCGCTGGGGGATTTCAAGGGAAGACGGGTTAGTGGTCAAAGATTGAGATCAATATTGAGGAGGGATTGCGGGAGGAGGTGGGTGGTTGGAGAGAGCAGGGCACCCACTTCTCCTATTGTGTTCCCGACTTGCCGATCACAGGAACTTGGAAAGACTGGTGGGCCACAGTGTGTTGTCTCTTACTGATCACCAGAAGGTGAATGTATGTTTTTGTCGTCCTTCAGTCCTGATTACGTCGACCTGATCAAATCAATGGAAAACATGAACACCGTGGAGCTGAGGGCCCAATCTGATGGCTTTGACCTGGTCTACTTCCATCCGGTGAGATTGTGCCCATTGGGACGGTGTAGAGCGGGAGTGAACGGGAAGGGGTTTGGGTCCATTGGGACGGTGTAGCGTGGGAGTGAACGGGAAGGGGTTTGGGTCCATTGGGACGGTGTAGAGCGGGAGTGAATGGGGAAAGGGTTTGGGTCCATTGGGACGGTATAGCGTGGGAGTGAACGGGAAGGGGTTTGGGTCGATTGGGACGGTGTAGCGTGGGAGTGAACGGGAAGGGGTTTGGGTCCATTGGGACGGTGTAGAGCGGGAGTGAATGGGGAAAGGGTTTGGGTCCATTGGGA